ACATCCGCCTGCTCTTTAAGGTTCATAGAAGAAGTCCACTTTAAATAGCACAGGTGCACAGTGTTGTGCAAAATATATAATGCTTTGCTCATACAGTGTATCATGACATCATGTGTGTTATGACACGTCCATGTTCACTGGACCTCAGAAACATATCTACTGGAATCCATCCTTAATTAGCAGCTTATCTAAGTCGACACTAATTGTACGAAAAGTATCAGCACATAAAATCAACGTCTCAGTAAACCACGAACATGCTCGTATAATGATATTTGTTTCGGAATTTTTTACAAACGTTACAAATACAGCTATAACAAGTTGATATATTTCAACAGCATTTCTTGATAGGTTATGACAGATGAGTTTAGATCCGTAAATGAATACAAAATAGCCCGGTAAATAATGGTTATTTAGCTAATAAAGAATCTTTGATACTGCTATCTTCAGATGTGCTGACAGAATATTGGCACATGGTAAATACAATATGTAAGAATTAGCTTTAAATGTTATACAAAGACATGGATTCAGAAGAATACACCAATTGTTTCTAGAAACAAACGACTGAACACGGGGGGCTAGTCCCAAAGAGAAGGTGTTGAGATCGAGGCACGTGTCCCCTAACAACATTGCTGATACACGTGACCCGGTCCCTAGATACTAGCTTGTTCCACAAATGATCTCTGCACAAAGCATGTAGGGGAGATTCATAAAGACCTGTGTGCCCATGCAGAAATCTGTGCGATATCATAGGCCGCTTATTGTTAGGTCGTTACAATAGAAGTGTGGATTTATAAATGTGTCTATCTCTCGTCCTTATCGTAGCCCTTTAGCATGGTCGGTGATGTCAAATGGCGGTAACGTCCTTGTATCTGGTGTATAACACCATATAATGTGTTCCACAGGTTTATTGTGTCGGGGGTCTTGATAACTACCTAATATTTTTTGTTATTCGTAGATGTTTGTTATTGAAATGAATGTCTATTAATTTATTTCAAATATACAATATCAAAAGAAACTCATGTTGATTGTTCTAGTTTTAAAAAAACCGTTAATCAAGAAATGATATTGCTTGTCACCCAGGTAAAATACTAACCGCTTCCTACCGAATCGGCTAGGGAGAAATTCCCTTTAGCTCATTGGGTAGAGCGTAAGACTAGAAAACATATGTCCTCTGTTACATTGGCGCCAACGTAGGGTCCCGGGAGATATGAAGGGGGAGTATGTCACACTGGTTAAATACTAGCCGCTTGCTACCGATTCGGTTAGGGAGAATTTCTCTCTAGCTCATTCGTTAGACCTTAAGACTAGTAAACCAGAGGTCCCAGGTTTGACTCCTGGGGAGGCATTGACAACATAATGTGCCCTGACCTAGATCTGCAAGTATGTTGTTTTATAACGTCAATATTATAACGTATGGTATATGCAAATATTTGTTCTTGTCTGTTTGGTCACTTTTTTGACGTTCGATATTAGTGCTATTCTTTTTGCCATGGTTCATAATCGACGTGAGAACAGCCAATTTCAAAATCAAGTCATACGTCGATAGGATTTGATTTATAAAACAATTGTTCCTCCTTTACAATAGTCGCATAGCTTTACTTGTTCTAATGATTGAAATATTCTTGGTATGTAATCGAAATAATATCAATTTGTTCAAATCTTTGAATTTTATAATTGAAACAATTTCAACCATTATTTTATAATGTGAACAAAATGTGTTTGTTAGAAATATCTATCTTTTTTATTAATGTATGGTACTGTGAATATATATTAACTTGTTGGTGTATAACATAGTAAATATATATTAACTTGTTGGTGTATAACATAGTAAATATATATTAACTTGTTGGTGTATAACATAGTAAATATATATTAACTTGTTGGTGTATAACATAGTAAATATATATTAACTTGTTGGTGTATAACATAGTAAATATATATTAACTTGTTGGTGTATAACATAGTAAATATATATTAACTTGTTGGTGTATAACATAGTAAATATATATTAACTTGTTGGTGTATAACATAGTAAATATATATTAACTTGTTGGTGTATAACATAGTAAATATATATTAACTTGTTGGTGTATAACATAGTAAATATATATTAACTTGTTGGTGTATAACATAGTAAATATATATTAACTTGTTGGTGTATAACATAGTAAATATATATTAACTTGTTGGTGTATAACATAGTAAATATATATTAACTTGTTGGTGTATAACATAGTAAATATATATTAACTTGTTGGTGTATAACATAGTAAATATATATTAACTTGTTGGTGTATAACATAGTAAATATATATTAACTTGTTGGTGTATAACATAGTAAATATATATTAACTTGTTGGTGTATAACATAGTAAATATATATTAACTTGTTGGTGTATAACATAGTAAATATATATTAACTTGTTGGTGTATAACATAGTAAATATATATTAACTTGTTGGTGTATAACATAGTAAATATATATTAACTTGTTGGTGTATAACATAGTAAATATATATTAACTTGTTGGTGTATAACATAGTAAATATATATTAACTTGTTGGTGTATAACATAGTAAATATATATTAACTTGTTGGTGTATAACATAGTAAATATATATTAACTTGTTGGTGTATAACATAGTAAATATATATTAACTTGTTGGTGTATAACATAGTAAATATATATTAACTTGTTGGTGTATAACATAGTAAATATATATTAACTTGTTGGTGTATAACATAGTAAATATATATTAACTTGTTGGTGTATAACATAGTAAATATATATTAACTTGTTGGTGTATAACATAGTAAATATATATTAACTTGTTGGTGTATAACATAGTAAATATATATTAACTTGTTGGTGTATAACATAGTAAATATATATTAACTTGTTGGTGTATAACATAGTAAATATATATTAACTTGTTGGTGTATAACATCGTAAATATATATTAACTTGTTGGTGTATAACATAGTAAATTAAGCATCAACCTACCCGGAATACTACGGTATTCGTGATCAAACTTCATACATACTTCAAACAACTCGTAAAGACCCTCACAGCGTTAGATATAGATATCATCAGGGTAACGGTCCCTTTGTCTTAGTCAAACACACCTGAACTTAAGAGTCCACTGCCTTATGACAATGGCCAGGCATTGTTTGTGTACAGGTTTGAGATATTAACCATAGAAATATGAGTTACTTGAGAGCTAGAGGCTATATATTTCCATTATTTTATGTCAGTAATTTATTATATTTTCAATACAATAACTAATAAAGAGAACTCTTAGCGTGTTAAAAAGCAAAATTACTTCTCAAACAAGAAAACGATTAGCAGAAAAATTGCTGGTCAGTGTTAGCCAGCGTTGAGATTCATTAATATGGTTATTTATATAATCACCACTGACGATGTTGACACGAGGAATACATATCAGCTATCTGGGTCTGCTGACTACTGGTGTTTCCGTTGATGTTGTGGTCAAGGTACACTACGATAACGTATGGATATGATTCACATCGAAAGGATGGATTTTCGGATATTTCCCGTTTATTTCAGTACAGGTATGTTTGTAGCAATACGATCTAAAGTGTCTACTTTGTAAGGTTTATTTAAAGATCAAAATTGATTTTCCAAAAATTTCACATAATAGTGTCAGAATATATCATGATTGTTGCATTATGCTTTGAAACTGATGTTCGAATTTGAAACTAACAAAGTATGTTACTTCAATCATAAGCATTACACTTTTAATGCATATGTAAGCAAAGTAGGACCTAGGGAACATGTTAGAGTTCATCATCTATAGAAATTGTCAGGTCATGCAGTGACATTTACAATCTATCACTATTCTTGCATAGAAACGACTACTGAATTTAAACCATCAATAAAACCATCAATGATAAAACGACTAATGAATATTGATAATTTTAAAATAAACTTTAAGCTATCAAAAATAGACACATGATACACGGTAAAGTGAACTGTATATTTAGGCCAAGGTACACCAGGTCTCAAATAAAGCATCAACATATATGTATCTATCTTGATAACGACCGACCGGGTCCCCTGAGAGGGATTAGCTGCTTTCACTTATCAACAGTCAGTAGCCTTAGGGGCGTTACCCTTTTCATAAATCGTGTTACCAGTAACATCCCCGGACAATGCCGAACAATGCCGAACATTGTCGAACCATGCATATAATCACAACATCAATAAAATCCCACCTACAGGGTGACAAGTTATTTCATTGAAAGTAAATCCCTGATAATCAATTTCTTTATCATGTTAGCCCCAGCTGGTATGCCATTCTTGACAACATAACATTCTCATATTAACTTTTCCGTTCAGTGTAATTCACTGTACCTTAGTTATGTCGTAAAAGTCATCCCTTCATGATAATGTAGAACACACGAAGAACAGCCTCTAGATAACACAACATACACGACTGCTAATTGTTGGTACACATACATTGTATTGGTGATTATGGTTGAACTTAAGGATGTAAACTCATATTAGATATGACTTGTACAGGAAATGTTGAGGAACTGTTGATATTCAGGTAATGTGATGTATAAATTAAACGATGTATGTTTGGTATATTATACATACTTCATGTACATGTACCATGATAGTGCGTTTGTTTTTTTAGGGATTCGAAATGAAGCTGACGGAATATTGGCTTTTTTCATTCTTTCACAGAATACAGGTTACGACATTGGAAAGGAAACAAAGTTGTCAAATCCTTTATTCATATACCTCATTATTTAATGCTATTTTTTTGGAGCAGAATCGAAGACCGGTTGGTCGAGACATCCAGGACTTTCGTACCTACCAATAGTTTTATTATTTAATTGTCTTGTTAAAATATCTTTGAATTCGAAGTACATCTTAATCCAAAAGACCCGAGGACACCCGAAGTTTACATTTGCATGGTTATCCTTATCATCCTATAAATATTTTACTTCAGTTCTGTTCTTCTTTATTGCAGGTAGAGAATGCAAACACTGATATGTAGACGAGAGAAGCAGCACAGGACGATTGTCCTCCTACTCTTGGGATAACTCTACAAAATACTTCACCAATAATGGAGGACCCATTTCAGAGCAAACATGGTTACCTACCTTCGCTTTACAGACAAGCTACACAACAGCTTCCAAGCTCAAAACTCAGGGATGAGATTGACTCGACAATGCACAAAGTCCAGGAGGAAATTAAAGCACCAGCTGCATCAACCAAAGAAGCCTTCTCAGCTTGTTTTAAACATATTATCCCACACATCAAGAACAACCAGTTCGGACTGGAGCTGAAGGACATGCCAATTTACGCAGGGGACATATCCGCATGGAAACCGTACAAACCGGGATGTCCTTGTTATTTACTAACGATGAAGGTTGGTAAAATATCTGGGAAGGAACTTGATCCAGGATACGTTGTATTTCCTATGCCAAAAATAACGCCAAAAAGTATCAAAGTATACAACCTTGACGTCAGATCTGAGGACAAGCAACATTTGTGCCCAAAGAAAATGTATCTTGCCTTATTTCAAGTGTTAGAAACTGGACTAGATAAATTGCGGACTATTGTTGAGAAGGAGAAGTCGAGAAGTCGATTAAGTCGACGCTCAGACGCTACTATCAGGACAGACGCAAGTCCATCTCGACGAACGGAATCTAAACGTAGTCGTAAGAAATCAGACGCGAGCGCGGCGTACAAATCGTCAGACGACGATCCGGAAAATCATCGGAAGGATATCCCAAGTAGGACTAGCGTCCGCACCAACATCAGCCGTCAGAGGTCAGAACGATCGATGAGTCGGATGAGTGTAACGACCAATCAAACTGCTACAACAGTCAATGACCCTCCAAACGGCACCGTTAACGGAGGTACAAACGGGGTACCTCATGGAATCCTCCCTCAGCTAACAAGTGAAAGCATCCATCGAGCTGAGGCCATGCGTACGAGAAAGCGATCCGATGCTAGTTTCATAACGGACAAAAGTCGTCCAATGTCGGACTTAACTTTGTTACAAGTGCCCTTCTCTTTGGAGTCGCGTTCGAGTCGACGAACATCGACGACGTCAGAGCTCCGCCGACCCCCGTCGGAGGTAACAGTGATATTGGTACCACAACAGCCAGAGGAAAAGAAGCCGGATCCGGCAGCCAAACCTCCTATAGACAAACCAAAGAAACAGCCCAAGCCGGTTGAAATCATAGAAGTTCCAGATATCAGTTTGATTGAGGAAGAAGACAACAGATTTTTACTCATGACTCTTAAAAACGGAAATGAAATCGAACTCATCCCCACCATCACTGCCTCGAACGGAGGGGGTCCGCTTTTTGTGGCAAAGCCGCATGAGAATGACGAAAATGGCAATTCAGACCTTCGTTGGCGAATCAGTTTTGCTCCAAATGAGGAAGTGATTCTTAAAGCTATTACTTCCGGTGACAAAAATCAAAGATTGATGGCAGCGAAACTTGTCTCTAACATGTGCCAAAAGGAGTGGAAACTCCGGTCCATTACACCCTACCATATCAAAACTGTGCTGTTACACGATATTGACTTCCAGGTAGACAACACCCCGCGCTGGCAACGGTTTACTATCGACGAGTGCGTGCGCAACATTCTTCTCAGGCTCCTCAGCTTCATCCGGAGTAAACAGCTGCCTCATTTCTTCGAGAACGAGTTCAATCTCTGGGGACATATTTCATCTCAACAGTTTTCTATCATGAAAAATGCTCTAGAGAGGATCATGAGAGACGAAAGGGAGATAATTCGTGTTCTTAAGAGAATGAGGATACCCCCTATCATTCACTCCGAAAATGATAATTTCCAGTAAAACTTCTTATTTAATTGGGACTGTATGTAGCTTTTGTTCTGAATGCCATGTGATATAGAATATTCTATAGAAAAGTGAGTTGAGTCTAGCAGTTCGTGAGATGAATGGATATTGTTGTAATGGATATTGTTCTGTCAAGCGTATCTTTGAGGATCCCTGTACCACTACACAATTTGTTTTTCAAACTGTAACTATGCATTGGAATCTGTTTTTATCAGCATGACTACAGTTATATCCGGCATGATTATATCCGGCATGACTACAGTTATATCCGGCATGACTACAGTTATATCCGGCATGACTACAGTTATATCCGGCATGACTACAGTTATATCCGGCATGACTACAGTTATATCCGGCATGACTACAGTTATATCCGGCATGACTACAGTTATATCCGGCATGACTACAGTTATATCCGGCATGACTACAGTTATATCCGGCATGACTACAGTTATATCCGGCATGACTACAGTTATATCCGGCATGACTACAGTTATATCCGGCATGACTACAGTTATATCCGGCTTGACTACCTGATTGACGGAAGTACGTGTCCAATTTCTCTACTACAGTTATATCCGGCATGACTACCTGATTGACGGAAGTACGTGTCCAATTTCTCTACTACAGTTATATCCGGCATGACTACCTGATTGACGGAAGTACGTGTCCAATTTCTCTACTACAGTTATATCCGGCATGACTACCTGATTGACGGAAGTACGTGTCCAATTTCTCTACAACAGTTATATCCGGCATGACTACCTGATTGACGGAAGTACGTGTCCGATTTCTCAACTACAGTTATATCCAGAAAGAAGTTAAGGGGAGGCTACCGTATTTAGAAAACATCACAGTGGAATCTCCTAGCGTTTTGTGTGAAGTGTGACAGGGATCCTTATGCTGAAAGTCCTTTACCTGAACAAAATGAACGTACGATTATCTTTCCCTCTTTTCCGTTTACAGCAGTGAATACTGAAAATCAGTTTAGTTTCGCGTGCTCTTTATATACAAACTATGCTTGTAGGTTTTATTCGCGAATACTTGTATTCGCGATTGATATGGTGATATTTGGTCATCGATAGTAATAATCAATCGAATCAATATTCACGATTGATTGTAAACCATGGATGGGGTTTCTCACGAACTAACAGGTAATAAACTTCTCCCGAAAATAAGTTGATTTGCAGTAGGCTTGTTAGGGTAATCTACACTCGTCTTTGCACCTTTTGTCATGTTTCCTCAATATTCGCTGTGGTATAACGTGATATATGTAAACTTTTACTCAATATCTCAAGTTAGTATCAGTTGACGCTTATTTGAATGAAATAGTAATTCAGAAATTGGATAATTGAAAACTTAGAATAAGGGAGGCAACTCTTTATAAAATGTGATATAAATAACCGATAAATAAATCAAACAATAATCCTGTACAAATAGAATGTAAAATGTTTAGGCAAGACTTTTACGTTGTTGTGTCTGCTTTATTGTAGGTATATTGCAATATGATATCAGTACATGTTCGGATTTCTATTTATATAACGCATCCTGATTATGGCTCAATATGTCTATAGCATTTTGTTCCAATTACCTATTCACATCTTGTAAACTTTTATGATTTACGAATACATTTTACAAACATCTGTTAATTTGTTAGAGTCTGTCGATTCGTGTGGGTTACGGGACTTCGTTATTTTTCTGTGGAGTAATTTTATTTGTCATTTTAAGATAATTCAAACATAGATTCACACCTTGAAGTTTTTCGACGATATTTTACTTTCTGCATTTCTTAGTACGACTTTTGCACTCGTTTCATGCTATGTAGACATACAAATCAAATCAAGCAGAACTGGTCATTGATATCCGCTGTTTAATTAAAACAGACATTACAAGTATTGTATATTTGGAAAGTTTCGCCCAGTCAAACGTTCACCGTTCAAGGACAAACAAATATAGAACAAATAAAAAATGAACCAGAGGAAGATATTTATACAGCGACATAATATCAGATAATGTAATATATGTATATTTACAATTCTCATCAAAATGAGACTTCTGTGGATTTCATAGCCGTGACCATTGAATGCATAAACAATGTATATATATTATATATAATAATGACAAACAAAATATAGTTACAATATCAACATGTAATAAAATCTTCGTTGGGTTAAACCTCGTGTTTGCGTGATTTGTACCACGCCATCCTAGACGATACTGACGGTAAGGATTATCAACAATGATTTATTTTTTAAAAAATACATCATTTCATAATAAAGCAGAAGAAGAACAGTGTTCGTTTTATGTTCATTCCATGTGATATGTTAAAGATGGGTTTCCATTTATTTTAAATGATACACATGTATAAAACACGCTTTAGTGATCTATTCCACATATAAAGATGTTATAAACATTGTATGCATCAAATCAATGAATGGAATATGAACGATAATTTCACACAAAAAAAGACTTAGTAGGGGCCCACAATAAGCATATGATGGAACCACCTATACATGCCTGGGGTTTATACAGCTAATTCGGTAAACGTCAAGTCTAAAAGGTATAGTTGTGTAGGTATATATTGACTCTTGAGTAATTGAGGCTAGTTAAACCTGGGAACCAGTGGGGGGCACAGTATGCCACATCAAGAACTACTATTTAGTGAACAGCGGGTCCGGATGACAAACAAACAGAAATAAGAATGCTTTTTTTGGATCTTAGCTTGCTGCTCATATATTATTAGCTTCGAATAGCACCAGCAATATATTTTGTACTTTAATAAGATATAGAAATTTTGATTATTTTGATACATTACAAATAAAAATGAATGTCAATAATGAAAAAAGAAAAAAAATCGGGATCCTATCTTCAATATGAAAATTATACATACAATTTTTCTTGGCCTTCCATTAATGATTTTATAGTAATGGTAATAATGTACAACATTAATAAAGCGCCCTTTATATTTTTTGTAAAATTACTCTAAAGCGCTATACAATATATGGATAATAGTATCAGTTATAATTAGTAAACAAAAATGGCTTACTATCATCATTATACATTATGCAAGTACATGTACAATCATATTTAGTCTGAAGGGAATTCTTCAGAACGCACTTTTTCTTATAAGTGTATTGTTGATGGCCCTGATTGATTTCTGTTGACTTAATAAGATTGTGCAAGAGCGAATTAAAAAATGAGAAAAAGAGGGTTCTTAAACATTATTTTCATATGCAGAAATCACGTTAAAGGGAGTTAACTCTTACTAATCACACCATAATTCCAACACAGTCGCAAAATGTTTTAAAACGTAGAAAAAAAACAGATGACAATGTTTAGAACTAAGATATCACTCTTTCACTGTTGAATCATGTTTCAAACAAGTTGTGGAAATCCTTTTCTAAGATAATTCAATCAACATGTTTTCATCGAATAAAAAATGAACAAAACATAGACAAAAATAAAAATTAGTCCCTGAAAGGAATTATCACAAAAATAGCATTTGCGAATGTATATCGTTTAGACAAATACTTTATTATCCCTACTAATTATAACTAATATGATATGAATAAATTCTTAAAATTATGGATAATAATTTGATAGGAAAAAGATTGTTTAAAAAAGACATTATTATTGTGCACGACATTATATGTCATGATGAGTATCCTGGTTCGTTAAAATGAAGCAACAGAAATATAACTTAGTGTTACGTTTACCTTGTAAATGCCATTGACAGCTGAAAGGGAATAAAATGTACCGCACTGTGAATACGCAAAGACAAACTCTTAACATTATAATAAGAAAAAAAGAAAAAAAATGAAAAAGTAACTGAGACGGGAGAAAAAACAAACGAGAATATGTCAAGAAATCCTCACAAAATACCTGAGGCTTTACTAGGTATTTCGTGAACAACATGTAGCACAAAGTTAATTTAAAAACGGCTGTTATTTCTTTAGGCTGACAGCTGAATTAATAACAACGTACGAATTGTACCACTAGAGGATAAATCTGTATACACAAACACTAAAAAATAATAGAAATGACAACTACAAACTGATATAATCACTGATGATTTACAAAAATATCTAAACGAATTATGGATTTTTATCTTTACAAAATAATTGTAGTTGAAAGAGAAATAAATATATTAAACTAAAGATATATACAATGCCAGTATTTATATCATACACAAATTCACCGAAACTCTTTGACTTAAAATATATACAAAATCTTCATAAAAGATTGAAATAAAATGCGATAAAACGAACAAAGTAAATATGTTAGAAAAACATAAATATGCACCGGATTAAAATCATGTGTCGTATGAACGCTAGAGTTATTTCCTCTTTTATTTTAAGTAAAAATGTTGGATTGTTATTTACAATTGATATATACAATGTATGGTCCAACGTTTTATCACAAGTAATTATAAAAATAAGAGATTATAGACGTATTTACGAGACCCATATAAAAGCGATTTAAAAACAATAGGATCTAGATGAGAACTAATCATGTTTAAGATTAAAACGTAACAAGGGAGCTAACTGCTGTATCCCTGGAGAGTCAGCGACAGTTGGGTATCCGCCATTTGTAATCGCAAACCCCTCTCTCCTGGACCCATCCTGTACCTAACGGACACTGCAACTCCACTGGTATGGTCCAAAGACAATGGAAAAACTTCGTACAGTCCGTCAGGTGGGGGTAGAAGGTCCCGGACGACTGGCACACAGGGCGGATGTCCTTTATTTTATCTGTGACAACAAACAACTTGTATTTGACAGGCGTGTACATTATAATCTTATTTAAACAATTTATTGGGTTTTTTTTGTTTGAATACAAAATAATGTGTTGGGTAGGAGGACAGGAAGGTCAAATGTGTGTTTTACCTTGCCTTCGGAAAAAAAAAAATCTGTACTTAATTTTCTTTATATTGCATGTTTAAAGTTCGCTTTTCAGCTCTGTTATCCTATTTCGCTTACTGAAACGTTAACCTCCCCTGTCCTACATGTCCTCAACTATACATGTGAATCGCTGTTGTTTTATGTAGGATCATGGATGTGTAGTGGACACACATCCTTGGTAGGATCAATACATAGCAGCGATAGTAAGAAGTGTAGCTTTGGTCTATAAACCCCTCAATATGCACGTGCTGAATGTTCCAGCGGTCAGTCGCGGTTGCGATGTTTTGAGGTTCAGCTTATTGAAACGGTTGAACCGGTACACGAAAACGGCCATAATATCCTAAAACTTATCCCAGAGAGAAACATCATTTAAAATGTTTACAATATTTAACTACATAATGTCTCTTGCCAATAATGATTTATATTCAATACAAATTGTTAAAATATTTAATGATTTAATAATGATAATGAATATCGGCATTACAATGTAATTACTAATACTAGGTTTCCTCCGGGGGGATTTCGTATTTTTATGTAATGACTGTGTTGGCTAAATTATGTTATACATATTCCTACATAATGTATGTAAATATCTTCCCTTTTAATTAACGTCATAGTCTAATTTTATACTTGACTATAGTCATGTAAATGTAATCAAGTCAATGTTGTAAATCGCCTGACAAAGCGTATCCCCTGGGTTAAACCAGATACACGAAAACGGCCATAATATCCTAAAACTGATCCCAGAGAGAAACATCATTTATTTTTTTTACAATGTTTAACTACATAATGTCTCTTGCCAATAATGATTTATATTCAATAAAAATTGTTAAGATATTTAATAATTTAATAATAATAATAATGAATATCGGCATTTCAATGTAATTACTAATACTAGGTTTCCTCCAGGGTGATTACGTATTTTTATGTAATGACTGTGTTGGTTGAATTATGTTATACATATTCCTACATAATGTATGTAAATATCTTCCCTTTTAATTAACGTCATAGTCTAATTTTATACTTGACTATAGTCATGTAAATGTAATCAAGTCAATGTTGTAAATCGCCTGACAAAGCGTATCCCCTGGGTTAAACCAGATACACGAAAACGGCCATAATATCCTAAAACTGATCCCAGAGAGAAACATCATTTATTTTTTTTACAATGTTTAACTACATAATGTCTCTTGCCAATAATGATTTATATTCAATAAAAATTGTTAAGATATTTAATAATTTAATAATAATAATAATGAATATCGGCATTTCAATGTAATTACTAATACTAGGTTTCCTCCGGGGGGATTACGTATTTTTATGTAATGACTGTGTTGGTTGAATTATGTTATACATATTCCTACATAATGTATGCAATTATCGTCCCTTTTAATTAACGTCATAGTCTAATTTTACACTTGAATATAGTCATGTAATCAAGTCAATGATTTAAATCGCCTGACAAAGGGTATCTCCTGATCATAATGTTACTTATCAAAATGCACACTATTATCATGGACCTCCAGCAGATAATCCGGGTAACCGAGTCAACGTTTGTGATACTTATTAACTAAGAACATTTTTATATAAAAGGTGGTAATCTTATTACAGTGAAATCAGATATTTTCGTGGGGCCCAAATTCAGTGAAATCCCGACAATCACCATTTCGTGGGTACATGAATTTGTAGATTACGAGCACCCACTCAAACAGAGAATCGATTTATATCAAATTTGTAATAACTTCATGGACCTATGAATTCGTGGATAAAGATTACCCACTGTTTCAACGAAATTAAAAGCCCCGCAAAAAATAGTAATTTCACAGTATATATTTATATTCGAATGGTAAACTGTTGCCTCACTGAATTGTACATTTTCTCTCCTTGCACTGCCACATATATGTGTACACATACCTATTAAGGTCATATGAGTGTATTGCTAAACGGAAGCAGGAAGTACATCCCTAGTTGAAAATCCAATGTAGGGAGACAGTATCACAATTCTTGCATATTCTAATGTTTAATATTAAACTGATGAATATTGTATGTTTATTATTGACAGAACAGTGTGTTCTTTCAATATTAAAGTATTTCAAAGCAATCCAGGCAATAATTCAGTTGTTTTTTAATTAATGAGTCACATGCGTCCGTTGTTCTGTACTTAGGAAACCGGCTACCTATTTCACTACTGTGAAGTTTTTCAAGTCTGTCACACTTTCCTGTATTTGTCGATATGCATTCCCTCTGTATACTGACAGCCGCCCATCTATTCACCCCTCTATACACTGCCATACTTACCAATACATATTCCCCTCATACACTGCCGGTGTGTCGACTCCAGCGCCTGACAGTCTGACCGTCCACACGATCGTACTCTCTGAAGAGTTTGGAGTCCCGACCCACAGGACCGAGAACACGCCCCAATCTCCATCCAGGGGCTCCATGACGTACAGTTTTTATCGCACGTGTCTAATGATAAGAAAGCAAAAATAGTAAAAAGAAGTGCCAATACGTAGAGTTTACGATGATAATATTTGTTGCCAAAGAAGTAAGACTGAATGTGTGTATGGTTGTTTTTATGAACATAAAGGAAATACAAGTAAAACATTTGTTTTCACGTACTTTTTGTAAGAAAAAATAATAGAAAAAAGGTCAAAATAAATAATGTCAGCGCCTAAAGTGTTCAGAAACATATTTAGAAAGACTGCAAAATATTGATATTACATGGTGTTCTATGTTATATCATAGAGCTATATCCGAAACGACACGTACCTGGACACGTGCCCATGTTACAAGGTGCTGTCAAATTTTCATAAATCCCGCAATCTTTATTCTGGAACCGACACGTTCGAACCCTGGTACGCATGACAACACCTTTATCGCACGTGGTAGAGCAGACCACGCCCATCCACTGGCTCCATGGGTTGCATAAACGGTCACAAGTCACTGTTGGTAGGCAAAAATGTGATTGATAATAATTGTACAGCTAATGTATTATATTTACTGGTAAAATAACAATCAGGAGAAAACGAGTGACTGTGTGGAACTAGTACGTAACTGCATCTTTAAAACACAAGGAGTTTGCCATACATACATCATAATGTACCACCCATGGAATATTTCATGCGGACAATTAGGTCTCTGTACTCACAACTTTGCGGATGGTAAAAGAAGACTAGTTTGTTTTACGCCAAAACAATCGTGCGGCAACATAACGGTAAAATAGACCGGGCTTGAAGTCGAGTGTCGCTCCTCCGTAATCCTTAAAGGACAAGTATCATCTGAGCTAGATGTTACTTTCTTTTACCTTAAACGAACCAAAACGTTACTGCGTGCCTTCGATTTAGTCGTGACATATTCATCGGATGTAGAAAGGACATACACGTATGAACCGAGAGATGAATCCTTTGATTTTGATGATGCGGCATCTGGAGAGTTTATATTTAAATTTTATCAGTATCATGAAAAATTATCTCGTTATTTCGACCAACCTGTCTCGTTATTACGATATACCGAGACTTTTACGGGTACAGTAACTGGTAAATATGAGATACAATGTTCGTAATTACGAGGTGTCTTAAACCAGGCGATAGTAAAATATTATTACGAAATGTTACTTGGTAATTACAAGAAAAAAAATATAAACTGAAAATGTCACTTTCGGCTTCCGTAGAAGACAACGTTTTTAATTGATTTTAGGAGAAATTCACAGAGAGAGCTTACTTTTAAAACGTTCTTAATATGAACTCATTTTCATTTTGATATTCATAGTTTACTATATGATGGAGATCTAATTTCATGGTTGTGACGATAGGAAAATTGATTTTCCACCCTCCTAGCGAGTGGGGTTTACCGGCAGGTTATTGATTTCTGCGCCTGGGCATGGTTTATTTATCATAAAAATGGATTCATAAGGTTACACTACTCTTTATCGACCAGGTTTATAAGCTAATTAAGGATCCCCGTACCACTGCAAGAAATTGTAACTATGCATCGGAAATGTTTTTTTTCTTTCTGTCAAGAATGAAATTTTAATAAATCATTTCCGACAAGGATATGAGACTCTTTCATGCCCAGGGTTGTAGGATAGGGAAATTGCACTCGAGGGATTTTCAAATTTGGCAAAACCCTCGGCTTTCGAGTATTTTCCCGAGGGTGCTTCGCGCATTTATGCAAAATACACACATTTTTTCGGTATATATCGTATAAACCCAAAAATAGCCATGGGTATTCCTTAATTTTTTTTTTTTTCAGTCAAAGTATTTGAATGACATTTATCGACGTTCTTTTTAATAATTGAAGTCTATACGTTTAGTACAAACCAAACTGTGATGCAGTCTTTCCAATGGTATTAATAATATTAAACTCGCTTCATTAAGCAAGTTGATATTGTGCCACAATATGGCGTCTGCACACCTCGTTGAATCAAATGGTAAGCAATGCAAGACTATATTTTTACCATTAACGAATTATTAAAGGGTAGAAATGTCTCGCTCCCGGGAGCATAATTGGGGATCAAAAACCTAAAGGTATGCCGAGGTTTTTGATTCCAAATTATGCACCTGAGGGTGGGATATTTATATCTTACATATTTACATATGATCAAGTCACATAATCTTTCAATTTTGTTATTAAAAAATTAATATAAAAAATGCAACAACAAAATTGTTCTTAAGGATTCGATCCCTGTACTTCCGACAGTTATACTGTCGATCTTACCGAAAAAAACCAAAAACGTAAGAACCCTTGTCCAGTCGCTCTATAATGATAACAATACTACAATGGAATTTTTCAGAGTTTTGCTTGCAGCGGAACTGGGCTCCCTTTTTCGAGTAAAATTCCCGGACAAAATCGTCTTTATACTTTAAAGCTAAGCATATCTGGTATGCTCCTTTCATTGTATTTAAATAGTCTTATATTTTAGAAGAAATCCTATTTCCTTACCTGGACATGTTCTTAAATGGCATGGTGATGTTTCTTGTTCCGAATGTTCACAATCCATTATTTTCGCTGGACACTTCCGGAACCGCTTCCTCAAATGACTTCCGGTGTCACATGTTGTAGAACAGGGGCCCGTCCTCCAATCGGCCCATAGGCTACAGTTTACGTCACACGTGTCTAAACAATTTATATGTTTGTTAAAAAAGTCAACATTTGCATCGAGTTCAGGTCATAAATACACGAAGCAAAGAAATGATGGGTATAAGATTAGCAATTTGCTTGTAATTATGAAGATGTTAGATTTTAAATTTGCACTGACGAACGTGCTTGATTTAATTGATATTAAAAACGATATTGAATCAATAGAAACGTTTATTCACTCTATTGCATTGTGTCTACTGCAATATGGTTAACTTTGTTCATTACCGTATACCTTATAAACGAAGCAATCTACATCACTTGTCAGGTAGACATTGAAAGTGATTACTGTTTTATAGGGAAGCATTAAAGACGTATTGTTGAGATTTTTTCCTTTTTAAACTATTTCTTCGTCTGCAAGGAACATTCTATTATTAAGAATATACAAACAAGAAAGAATCGCAAAGAAGTCAAAGTTTACCAGAGCATGTTTCCAGATAACATGGTGATTCCACTTCCTGTTTTTGTCGGCAATCTCCGACAGTTGCCGGACATCCGCGAAACCTTGTCCGGATGACTACGCCTTCATCACAGCTTTTGGAACAGTTCCCTTCCTGCCATTCTCCCCATGGACTGCATTGCAAATCACAAGTACCTAGAGGAAGTACATACAAAATACATCATACACGTTTAATGATCCCTGTCCCACATTACTAGGACTAGTACACTTTCGTTGTCCAAATATCTCAATTGGCTGTCGCGATAGTATATAAATCTGAAGTCTTGGGTTCAAATCCCAGCCTAGCCCCACTGATTTCTTTTTCACTGAAAACGCTATTGTTGATTATCTTTTGTTTATTTCCTTTTTATTGGTTATCGTTTAAGTCCCGAAAGTCATGTTGTTGTTTTTTCAAAAATGAAATATCAAAACTTTTATCATGCCAGAAAACACAGTTTCCAACACTTCGCTACAGTTTTTGGCAGTGGATCAGGGATCTTTTATAAAATGCTACAAAACTGACGAAGTGGGGGAAAGATGCCATCTTATTGGTCAGTCATTAACCCACTGACCTGCCATCAAGGCCTAGATATTAAATTGCAAGGGGAAATCTGTTGATACAATATCTCATCAGTTTTACCGGATATACCCGAATACATTTTATCGAACAATGCTAATGTATCATACTGCAATCCAAATATCTGCAACTTAAGTTGTTATTAACTTATTCTAAAAATGAATCTTAAATGAAAATGTTTGAAACGTAATGATAAAGATATGATATAAGTGTTGTTCAATGTTTGGTTTGGTTTTATTTTGTTTAACATCCTATTAACAGCCAGGGTCATTCATAGGGATCTACACGTTATCAGATTGTCTAAGGCTGATAACAGTATTTTTAATATCAAACATCCCTATGGTCCTATTAACAGCCAGGGTCATTCAAGGGGATCTACACGTTATCAGATTGTCTAAGGCTGTTTACAGTATTTTTTATATCAAACATCCCTATGGTCCTATTAACAGCCAGGGTCATTCATGGGGATCTACATGATGTCAGATTGTCTAAGGCTGATAACAGTATGTTTAGCATCAAACATCACGGCTGTCCTGTTGTGTTATTGACTCGCAGTAGGATAAATAAACGACAAACCCTTGTTCTTGCTTCGATTTCGTGTAGTTTATCTCAAACTTTCGATGGAAACTCAAGGTTACATCTAATTCATACATCATAAACAGAATACGGACAATAATTCCGGATACTTCTCTGGTGGTCACAAAATATATATAACATATATATAACATCCCCCCGCTCAAAAAAATGAACCCCAGTGAAATTGTAAACAACCACCAAGGAAGTATCCAGACATACAAAACAACAGAGCATAGAGTAGTGAATGAAAAAAGTCAAATGGAAAAGGAATTATATACCTAGATCATACAAGATGTAAGTACTAACTGTACTAATATTACATTAAGGCAATAAATTATGCATATAAACGTATAGAAAATGTCCAACAATGGCAACATTCATAGAAAACTTTGACTTATACAGAATGAATGATTGGACTACCGGTTTCTACACAAAGCAATGGAAGAATTATTGGCATATTATGAAATTAGTACGGCAGATTGCCATTGTTATCAATCACGGAATGTCTTCATTTTAGAATATGGGACAATTTACATCTCCAATGCCAGTAGATTACACATGTGCAGGTAAGTCTTTCCGCTGGCCAGTCAGATATGCAAACAGATCTTTACTGTTGATAGACATTGAGTTGAACTGCTCCGAGTTGGAAACATCATGAGCATCAACAATTCTAGGTGTCACTTTAGTCACTGAACAAACAGCATAATCCGTAGAGGTTCTGGTGTTACCCATTCCATTCACAGTCTCTGACGTGGTGTTACCCATTCCATTCACAGTCTCTGACGTGTTAAGTCCTGACGAAGTGTACGGTGTTTCTTTAGTAGCAAACGACTGACCTGAAAATGACTGTTCACAAAGTCCAGTTTTCACTCGATCGGGCCTATAACCAGAACTTGTATCCGTACACGGGTCACCAAGATACTCTAAAACAGGCCTAGGCGTGTCCTTTTGTTGGATGTTACTCTTACTGTCCAAGGTAGAACCAACTGTCTCTGGGGCGTCATCTGGAGCACTGTGTACCACAACATCAGTCTGGTTTGCCCTGTTTATATCAACACACACCTGATTTGTATTCGCCTTAATAACTGTAGTAATCGTGGGTTGTTGCTAGGCGTAGATACAAGTGCAGTACTCGGTACCTTACTTTGGTCACAACCATTATCACTTCCGAAGTCCTTGTTACAATGAGATAACAATTTGGTCCATGTGATAGAAAATGACAAAGTCTGTCCATTCTCCTTAATAACATACGATGGAATCCAATTGCTGTACTCGACACTGTAATGATCAAACACCTTAAGTAAATAGTCCGGAAGTAGCATGGTTGAAATTATAGCAGTTACCAGTTCAAATATCGATACATCTTACATCGCCGCCATTACCACGTGTTCAGACCCAGGCACTCTGTACCTTCCTATAAACGGGGACACTCGCTTGCTGTGGTCCAACCAACAACAGTCGGCTCGAAATGTCACGAAACTAGATCTTACGGGTTTGGATTCTCCACTGAGTTGTGTTATTGACTCGCAGTAGGATAAATAAACGACAAACCCTTGTTCTTGCTTCGCTTTCGTGTAGTTTATCGCAAACTTTCGGTGGAAACTCAAGGTTACATCTAATTCATACATCATAAACAGAATACGGACAATAATTCCGGATACTGCTCTGGTGGTCACAAAATATATATAACATATATATAACAGTCCTATTGACAGTCAGTGTCATTCAAGGGGATCTACATGAGGTCAGATTGTCTAAGGCTGTTAACAGTATTTTTAGTATCAAACATCACTATAATTCTGACTATACGCTGCCCTGCAATTCTTTTGATATACATCAACAACTTCAGTCTATTTGTATCATCCATCAGGTAATAGTCAAGCGTATCTTTTAGAAAGGACGATTTCCTTTCAAAATAGTTTGACGTGTTCTTTTTTTTCTGCATAGATTTACCAATGATGGAAATAACAGAGAAAGCGCCGTGAGGTTGTTACTCAGCATTGTAGTGAACACGTGACACATTGTGTCCCTATAGTAGAGTTCCCACAATGTGGTCCCGTGACCGCTTTTCCCGGGCCAAGGTTTGAAAGTTGATTTAAGTCAATTTTAGGGTGCTGATTAAAATGAGCTGGGGTGAACCTCATGAAAATGTGGGCTAATTATAACTCGGCGAAAATTCAAAATGGCCGCCACCCGTCGTCTGGTATATCAAAAAATACATATCTTTGCTTGTAGATGATCGTTTCTATGATTTTTAGGTCTTAATATACATTTGAAGGGTTAGGGATTTTATTTGTTAGTATAATAACTTGATTAAAGTAAGCGTTAGAACGAAAAATGGTCTGTTATTTTTTTTGCTGCCAAAAACCAGGATAACCGAAAGCTGACTGAAAAGGAAAAGGCCAGGAAGACACCCTTAATGGTTTGGATGCATCGTTTTCATCTTCAACCAGTGTAAATTAGATGAAACAACCATTGTATGAAATGTCTGGTCAATGATTTTGTTTATATCTGGTTTAACGTCATTGCAACTGTACTTTGCATACATGCACTGTCAATAAAAAAGCAGTTGCGGAATAATCCGTGTCATTTAAGCGATTGATTAAAACTTGTAACTTTTCGGATTGCCAAGCGTCACAATGACAAAAATGCACATAACATCGAAACCAATCAAAATATCAATTATGTTTCATATTGTACTACAGTATGAACGCTGTTTTCATTTGAAAGGTTCGTAAAGCAGACAGGCGATTCGAAACTGAAATAATTTCAAAATATGAGCGCAAAACGACTTGCAGTCTTCCTTTGCCAAACGTTTTACTGAAAAGAGAATGTTCGTGTTCAACTGGAGAGCACAAACGATGATATATTTATACATATAGCCCGTATACAATAATTATCACTTCGTGTATATATTTCAGCATAATCATAGACTATGAAAGCCGACCATGGTTATCAAAAGGAACTCCTCGTACTGGAAAACGTCCTCTTCTATTTTTGCATAGCAGGCCTAAAAGATCCCCTCAAAGTGTTCGATCAGAAGTATACATTTTTAATAGTGACAAGAAACTTCCAAAAGAAAGGACTGCAAAGCGTTTAATACCCCATATATATGTATGACCGTGTATAACAACTATGAAACAAGTTACATTAACTCATATTAATCACTCCTGTTGGCCAAGATGGAAGCGCGCAGCGGGTCGTTGCGTGTGAGTATCCAGAACTAATATTTACAATGTATTTACATCCTATCGGGGAATCGAACCAAGACGTCTTAATGAAAGGCCTATACCTTATCCACTGCGCCACCCGACCAGTTGAGAGACGTCTAGAATACATACACAGAAGGTTATACTCCAGATATAACCATGTATGGTGATGTGTTCTAACTTCTGACGAGATGACGTCCCTATATAGGCTGACTTGCTGATAGATCATCAATACATGAAGCTATTTTGGGATATATCATTTATTGCAGAGGGGTTAGACGAACAGACAGACACTCACACGCCAATTCAGACTTTACGGACTTACCTAAGGTAGTTTATGGACACATGGTTGACTGTACATGAACGAATGTCTGTGAATTATGTAATTGGCGCTTGACTTACCTCAAAATATCTTCAAAATACATAAAAGTTATATGTGAGACATAGCGCTATCAACGTTCTACGTCAAGCGCTCCAGAAACACAACAAAATTTACAAAATAAAATGTTTAAATTATAATTTATTTTTACAACAATTATGAAAAATGTATACAATCACTCTTGTTAGCCCAGATGTAATCGCTAGAGGGGTCATTCTATTTTGAATTTGGTCATCGTATTTTAAATGAGAGACAATTTGAATCAAACTAAGGTAGTATGCTGTACATAAAATGTATGTTTACTGCGTCTCCTGTATTGACAGATGCGTCAACTGTTATCGCCGATAAAGCTAAGATCGCGCGATCGCCCGCCAAAGATTTCATGGAGCTTGTGAGAAACCCACATATATACAACCCAAATGTATCATTACAAGACTTCAATATAATTAATCGTAAAGTTACCTGTACATGTGCGGTCCCTGCACGTGTCGTCCTGTCTGTCCCTCTTCGTACAGTCTTGGTGAGGACATGTCCGGTTTCTGTAACGTGTCCGAATGCCATCATCGCATACAGACGAGCAGTTGCCTTCCGACCATGCACCCCATGAACCGCAGTCAACATCGCAAGTCCCTAGAAACGTGAATGTATGAGGACGATTTAGTTGTTATATTTTTTTCTTTCGATGAATTTCTTCATATTAGGACTGAACGCCATTTTTTTTCAATTTCATTCCGCTATGAACGCAAATCAGTTACATACTCTTTCCATGAAGCCCATCAGGGCTTAATGGTAAATATACCTCATACCAGTATGAACATTGGAATATACCATTCAATCCTGAGATTTTTAGTTATCATTAACCTAAATATAGATATTCCCTTATATTTTCGATATTAAAGTGTCTGTGTCTTCAGTGCAAACAATATTCACGGTACAGCCTAACGAGACCGAACTGTTTGATTCTAATGGTTGTTTCATGTTAATCCAGGCGTGAGGAGAAGCTTCAAAGTGACGCGGATAGAATTGCGTTGATAGCTATATGAACGCAATTTCTCCTAGTAATGCTTATGGAGTAACTTATAGTGGCAATGTAAATATAATAAAAAGATCAACACCTCATTCATTCATTCATCAATCAACCTCTACCAATACCTTAACTTTTAATATCAGTTACTGAATACCACATCAATCAATCAATCAATCAATCAATCAACAACAGCAACACAGCATCGTCAACAGCAGCACTATTCCAGTGCATGGTACAGTTGTATGCCCCTTTTTCTCCAGTTGCCGTTTGTTTTTTCTTGCCGGCGATTTATTCCTCATTTATGGATAATCCCCTTACTGTATCAACCGCCTTAATCATGCCAGGCTGACCCGTAGCAACTAAATGAAGAATCAATTATTTAATTATTTATCATGTCACTCCCTTTATTCCCTATTGCATTAGAATGTAAGGTAAGCTAACTTTCAGCGCGTGTTTTCGTTCAATGTAGGTCTAATATACATTATGTGATATCAATGCAAAGGTAACAAAAACCCCACGGTTGTAGAAACAGCGGTTTGTGTTCATGCTGGTAGGATTACAATCTTATATATATAATAGCCACCAGCACAACCAGGCTTCTCTATTCGCTTTAATTTAAACCTTTTCATGTATACCAGATTCAAGTGCAATCCGCCCCTTTGAGAGATCGATGGACGTGATTTGTTTGTATCGGTGACAATGTGGAACAGCCGGGTGTGACGTTAGGGACCTAGACTACGGCGGGATAATTAGGATTTGCCGTTGGCACTCCGTACGGTTATGAAGCAAGTTCTAAAACCCATTATGAAATTAGACAAAACTTCGTAAATTTCTTTTACAAACTAAAAACATAGTTTTGGCTTGTACGGAGGGCTTGAACCTTATACCTTAACATTTCCTGATAACTCATTCATGCATTCATTATTACAAATGTACTTCAAAGCTTGTGGTTTAGCAGTACTGTATATATATATATATATATATAAACAATGCAAATAAAACAAAAATACAGATATATACAAACAAACAGTACAACACTCAGACACACAATGTATACACGACCAAGCGATAGTATAGAGAGTAACTGCTTTCAGCTAAAACAGGATTGAATCTCCGTTTCTGACTATGACTAAGACATTTTGTTTAATTGGACAGTTCTTTATTGTTCGTTGTCATAAGATATGAAATTATTTGCCATACTAGAGTTTTTATAATANGGTAGTATGCTGTACATAAAATGTATGTTTACTGCGTCTCCTGTATTGACAGATGCGTCAACTGTTATCGCCGATAAAGCTAAGATCGCGCGATCGCCCGCCAAAGATTTCATGGAGCTTGTGAGAAACCCACATATATACAACCCAAATGTATCATTACAAGACTTCAATATAATTAATCGTAAAGTTACCTGTACATGTGCGGTCCCTGCACGTGTCGTCCTGTCTGTCCCTCTTCGTACAGTCTTGGTGAGGACATGTCCGGTTTCTGTAACGTGTCCGAATGCCATCATCGCATACAGACGAGCAGTTGCCTTCCGACCATGCACCCCATGAACCGCAGTCAACATCGCAAGTCCCTAGAAACGTGAATGTATGAGGACGATTTAGTTGTTATATTTTTTTCTTTCGATGAATTTCTTCATATTAGGACTGAACGCCATTTTTTTTCAATTTCATTCCGCTATGAACGCAAATCAGTTACATACTCTTTCCATGAAGCCCATCAGGGCTTAATGGTAAATATACCTCATACCAGTATGAACATTGGAATATACCATTCAATCCTGAGATTTTTAGTTATCATTAACCTAAATATAGATATTCCCTTATATTTTCGATATTAAAGTGTCTGTGTCTTCAGTGCAGACAATATTCACGGTACAGCCTAACGAGACCGAACTGTTTGATTCTAATGGTTGTTTCATGTTAATCCAGGCGTGAGGAGAAGCTTCAAAGTGACGCGGATAGAATTGCGTTGATAGCTATATGAACGCAATTTCTCCTAGTAATGCTTATGGAGTAACTTATAGTGGCAATGTAAATATAATAAAAAGATCAACACCTCATTCATTCATTCATCAATCAACCTCTACCAATACCTTAACTTTTAATATCAGTTACTGAATACCACATCAATCAATCAATCAATCAATCAATCAACAACAGCAACACAGCATCGTTAACAGCAGCACTATTCCAGTGCATGGTACAGTTGTATGCCCCTTTTTCTCCAGTTGCCGTTTGTTTTTTCTTGCCGGCGATTTATTCCTCATTTATGGATAATCCCCTTACTGTATCAACCGCCTTAATCATGCCAGGCTGACCCGTAGCAACTAAATGAAGAATCAATTATTTAATTATTTATCATGTCACTCCCTTTATTCCCTATTGCATTAGAATGTAAGGTAAGCTAACTTTCAGCGCGTGTTTTCGTTCAATGTAGGTCTAATATACATTATGTGATATCAATGCAAAGGTAACAAAAACCCCACGGTTGTAGAAACAGCGGTTTGTGTTCATGCTGGTAGGATTACAATCTTATATATATAATAGCCACCAGCACAACCAGGCTTCTCTATTCGCTTTAATTTAAACCTTTTCATGTATACCAGATTCAAGTGCAATCCGCCCCTTTGAGAGATCGATGGACGTGATTTGTTTGTATCGGTGACAATGTGGAACAGCCGGGTGTGACGTTAGGGACCTAGACTACGGCGGGATAATTAGGATTTGCCGTTGGCACTCCGTACGGTTATGAAGCAAGTTCTAAAACCCATTATGAAATTAGACAAAACTTCGTAAATTTCTTTTACAAACTAAAAACATAGTTTTGGCTTGTACGGAGGGCTTGAACCTTATACCTTAACATTTCCTGATAACTCATTCATGCATTCATTATTACAAATGTACTTCAAAGCTTGTGGTTTAGCAGTACTGTATATATATATATATATATATAAACAATGCAAATAAAACAAAAATACAGATATATACAAACAAACAGTACAACACTCAGACACACAATGTATACACGACCAAGCGATAGTATAGAGAGTAACTGCTTTCAGCTAAAACAGGATTGAATCTCCGTTTCTGACTATGACTAAGACATTTTGTTTAATTGGACAGTTCTTTATTGTTCGTTGTCATAAGATATGAAATTATTTGCCATACTAGAGTTTTTATAATAATATTTTTTTAAATGAAACGTTTTCTCAAATCAGTATAATGATTACATTCAACAATACAATACTATTCGTCTGCGTTATAGCCACTGATACAGTATATACACATTCTATTTTTTTCTTTCTGCCATCATATACTATCAGGCTATTTGACTGAAATTGACATGTTTGTGGCGTGAATATTTCTGTAGAGCTTTTATAACGTTGTGCATTTGTTAACGCAGCGAATTGTCTACTTTGTTTTGTCTTTCTGCGAAATCAGCCGAACTGAACCAAGAATAATGTAGTTGTTTTTATTAAAAATAGAAATTACTCATGTCAATAATTTATTAAAACCGAAATGAGTTCATAAACGTCATCACAAATCAGATAAGGATTAAGACGCTACTTACTTTGACACGCATGGAAGTTGCAGCTATCTTCCATTACGTTCTCGCTAACGCAGTCGGAGTGTATACAGTTTCGAACACTGGTATGAAGACGCGTGCCGCCCCCACAAGTGACGGTGCAGGGTGAGGTCGTGACGTTTCCCCATGGTGAACACGTGGTCTCACACGTGGCTGAAAAAACGTAAGTTAACTAAGTTAATAGCTGGTTATTATTCATCTCAAAGGTAAAATGAAACATGAATATGTATATACATCAATGCATCGCACACAATGGGCGAAGTTAAAGCCTTAATTTCCAAAAAGGGAACAGAGAAGACATCGAAACAAAGGGACAGACACGAAAAACAAGCGTCATATGATTGGTACAATGTGACCATTATGTCGGATTTGGAACAAATAGCAGGATAATTCCGTGGTGGTGATATTTTCGCGATTTTGCGGTGATACGTGGGTTCCTAGCAGAAAGAACTGCAATTATTGGTTGTAATCTAACAGTGTTTTCATTTTGCTTTTGTTCCTTCCAGATTCCTTCTTTTGCAATCAAGCCGGACTTTATTGATCACTAGAATGCATGATCTTTAACATCTTAAACATTTTTGATAGTTCAAATATTCTCACACAAAAAAAATATCCCAATACTCCGTATTTTTTCAATGGTTATTATTTCGGTCACGACAAACATCAATTTGAAAATATTCGGTTTTTTTTTTATCAAGTTTTGGTAATTAATTCCGATAGACCCGAATGAATATCCACGTGTATTATTTTCTGATGTTATATCCTTTGATGTTGATATTTAGAGATGGTTTTAAGCTTCATTAGGTGGGTGTAAAACGGACGTGTAAATATTAGCTACTGTTCGTTAAAGAAAAGTATTCCTGAAAATCGTTACATGTACACGTTTTTTCTCATGATGCGTTCGATAACTCCATGTCCAATTAATAAATGTTGACCGATTGAAACTCATCTTAACAGGACATATGAAGTCTATTTTGACATTATGGTTAATATATTGATATTTACAACATAATGTAAATAAAAAAATCCAATAATGTTTTTAATTAGAGTGTGTCGTACAAACATAAAGGGCTCTGGTTGTCCCGTCACAAAATAAAGGTCTGCTCATCAAAAACGCTTCTTTCAAAGACAGTAAAATATCACAGAACATTTAAAGCGCAATGGAATTGTAATCAAAGTTATGACTATTGATATTGTATATTGATTAGATGGCACCGAGAGGGTATTTCTGTTAAATTCGAATATTGAGTTACGCAGTCACTGAGAAAAACGTCACCATGCAGCTATTTTTCGATACTGAAGAAACAATTGTGAAATGTGCAGGTGCGAAATAATTAGAAGTAGGCAGGAATATTGCTGGTCGTTTTTATTGTGAATGTAGGAAAGGCTGATCTTTCTCTAGTTGTGTAATTTAAGCACTGATTGCGACATTTTGAACAAAGCGGAAAACGGAAATGGAGGACATGGTATTAGCGAGATCTTGCTTATGTGTTGATTAAGTGACACTGCGGTGCTAATTTGTAATATACAGACGTAACACGACTAGAACTCTGACTGTAATATATGGGAATTAGAACATACATTTCTGACATTTACAAGTAAGCTTAATATTCCGCATCGGTATAGTAGTAGTACGTCACAAACGATAAATGATCGATTATCATGTTCATGTATTTACATTTGCCCTGTAATGCCACTATATGAACCAAGTAACTTTATTCCGGAAAACAAGAATATGAACGGAAATGAGTAGAAATACGTAATGCAGTTGGCATTCATATGGGCTATGAACCGCATCGGAAATCAGTGTAATGCTTAATTACACGAAGTAGTAATATAATATAAATTCACGAAATTTACCGAATAGTCTTCAACAAAACTAACCGAGGAGAACTAAATAAATTTGATAACTGCAGAAGCTATCCAGAGAGTGATCACACGAGCAATCATTCCGCCCCAACAGTACACTACGTAGAAGACAATCGTGATCCGGTTTCTTAACTTACATTGGCAAGTTTCCTTCTTGCAACTATCCACTTCCGTTGATTGTTCTGCGCATGACTGCAGTGGACATAATCTGGTTCTTGATCTGGCTGAGGTGCCTTCGCCACACGTGACTGAACAGGAATCGTTCCGCCAAGTAGACCAAGGTAAACAAATCTCATCACAACCTTGAATTATAAAAAAAAATAAATAAATTGTAATAGAAGTGTTAATTTCTCTTGATTGGAGATATGAAACTTCAGACAGTATTAATGTTGTTTTTTTTGTTTTTTTTTTAACACCCTATTAACCGTCAAGGTCATTGAAGGGGTTGTCCCATGTTTGTCCCGACTTGCTCTCAGTAAATGTAACATTAAATATGAAATAAGCTTGTCGGGTATCATTTTTCTATAACATATTTGATAAAGGTATGTAAATATTACAAAATGTGTATGACTGGAAGTTCAATTAACATGACTTTAAACGCATTAATGAAAAAGTACATCATTACAAATGCAACTCTTTATGCCATTGTAACGATGAGGTATGAGTGTGCAGCATCGAACGGAAACACAGAGACGGAGGGAGACACAACCGGAAATACCCTCGGGACAATAAAGTCTTAGCGTAGCGTAGCATTTTTCTTTTTCATTGTGAATGCAAGTAATGATAAACTCTCCTGTAACCTCTATCACATATATAATTCTAGTCCCTCTTTCAACCCCTCCATGGGCATACTTACAGACGCCGTAGTTGCAGGGTGATGTGCTGGTTTCTACAGTAGCCGACGTACAGTTTTGACCAATGGCAAGAGACCTACACACTCGCTTCCGGTTTCTAATTTGAACCCCTTGTCCGCAGGTGACGGAACAAAGACCATAACTTGACCAAGATGACCAAAGATCACAGGAACATTCTGTAAAAAATATCAGATGTATCATGATCATAAACTATCATTACCCCGAGTCTTTACTCTTTCAGTCATGTATTAGATATTAGGTATTAACTGGAAAAGTTAGTTATTAGGTTCAGCCAACGTCGAGAAGGCTTCTGGTACATTTAGTACGAAACCGGTCATTTTGACTTTTTCATAATTTGTTTCCTTTATAATAGAAATGAAATACAAAAACAATAATTCCTAACTCTAAGCTGCAATAAAAATCTCCCAAATCATTCTATTTTGCCTTGAGTTTCAAGGTATTTGATGGTGGCGCCCTTGTGAAAAGTGACAAAAATTACAAATACCTATAAAAAACAGTTGATATTATGACTGGCAACATACATGATCTCTATAGGTATACAACATGTATGCACTCTTTCACTCATTCATAAGCAAAACATAAATTATTATCCATTCTATATCATTGTTTAAACACTTAAAGATGTTAAAGATACATTGTATATCTGTTACACTGAGTATGTTAACAAACAAAAATGAAAACAACGCGGAGAAAAATACGTTGGTATAATTTGATAAATAAAAATGGTAACGTTAAAGCTAAAATTACGAAAAATCAACCTATTTTTTTCTTTCCATAGTCTTGACGAGGCCCAATGTTTGTACATATATAAGCACTTTTGATAATTCAAGAATCTTGCAAAATCTGAGATTTAAGTAGCTAAATATGAGTGGCGAAAAGAATATTGGGATATGGAACTATACAAATATTCAAAGGACTTGCGAAATATAAATTTTGCTTACGTGAACAGGGTTTGATATTACAGGGTATTAGGTTCTGGTCTTGCTCTGGACATCCCTGATTTCCCTGGCATTTCCGGTACCGTGTCCTTGGGAGGGACCCGCCCCCACAAAACACGGAGCACGTGCCGTTTGTCCAACCACTCCACGGACTGCAAACCACGTCACATCCTGTTTGTGAAATAACAAAGTTCAAATTTGAAATACGATATCTTTGTACAACATTTTCTTTTTTACGAAAATACATCTAACGATAAGAATAGTAATATTCTGATGAAACTATTTCGTATCTAGTAACCATTAATCACAACGGGTTTCTGCTGTTTGATTGATAGCGAATTGCTAACGACTATATTAATTATTTATTCTGAGATACCAGATAGGACACACTGTCCATGTAGTGTTTTCATTGAAGATGATCTATTAAGGACTTGTGTGTCAGTTTTGCTTTCGTAAAAGGCAGATGGGATAGAAACAATAAAAATATTCTTTTCAACATATCATATATGTAATTTTTGTTCTTTTGTAAAATAATACACTTTTTGAGTAATAGATAATTAGACAGGACAATGGGAAACCTCCAAAGCTTCACCTCCTATTGTCATTCAGCATTTAGTTCAAATAAGGTATATGTCGCGTATGTCGCAATAAACAACCATCGCCCGGGAAGGGTCAGTGGTATCCAACGTAACAATTTTGACGTCAAAATAATGATGGCGTCAACAGTTCAGTTTAAACATATTTTATTGTACAAATTTACAAATGGATCGGACAACAAGTTTTTACAACTTAATAGACGTCAACAATCGTCCATTTCATGCATAGCCTATATGAATGCCAACTAAATTTGGTAGAATTATACTAGTTTCAATGCCATACGATGGTAAGAATATATGTTTGATAAAAAGACAAAACGGAACTTAAAATCGTTTCCAATTCCTGTTAGATTTATGAAACTCATCACGAAATTTTCTTCATTGTAAGGAATGGAAACTGCTAGACAAAGTTTATAAATATCACATGCAAATAAAAACTTATCTAATATTCCATATTTACTGGCCCCTAATGACTGATCTGCTCACTTACCGCAGTCCTGTGTGTTACAGAACCGATATTGAGTCGCGTGCCGGGTACATGATACTTCCCCCTGTGACGTCATAGCCACAGTTTGATTGCAATGACGCGTTCGGCTTCGTCCCTGTTTACCACGTCCGCAGTGTTTTGAGCATGCGCTGAAGCCAGACCATGTATCCCATTCAGAACACTGGCATTCCGTGGAACTGCGGACAAATAAATGATTTATTTCAATAATACACTGTATGCTCATTAGGAGACTGGAGTGAACGTCTATTTGTTCATTGACGGATCTAGATGCATATGTTCAAAAAGTCTTTTGAACACAACATTAAGCAATGGTGTTCTGTGGAGATGAACACCCTGTTAATTTGGGGAAAACGGCAGGGGAGGCAAAATGTTCGTTTTACCATTCCCGTTCGATTAACCCAACACATTTATAAATGTTCTTTTGCAGTTCGAAAAGGAAATAGATATTGTTGTTGACAATTTCATGATTTATTTTCACCATGAAAACCCGATTTAAGAAAACAAAAAATACATAAATAAAGGTAAAATGTCAAATCGATGGTGTAAGAAATGAACATTGAAATGCCATGTTCGAATCTCACAGTAAGTTAGAGTTATCCCCCTTATTGGTATGTGTTTTTATATTTACGGTTTGTTCGTTTATATGTACTGCCTAGGATAGCAAAATGATAAGATATAATCATTCCGTGTGATTAACCCTACACATTTATAATTTTTCTTTTGCATTTCGACAAAGAAATTGACATTGTTGTTAACACGAACTTTCAGATACATGTACATGTAACTTAAAATAAGTTAACAGGCATTCGAAATGATGTCCAGATGTATGCTTTTATTATCAAGGGATTTTTGCCTACAGTTTCCGGCTATAGGTAGGTGTAGGTAAAATTACATTCTATATAGGAACATACCAAATTTGTTAAAGTACAAATACAGATCAGAAGTCTGATCCATGATTTATGTTGTCTCATCGTATAGATAACCATCCACTGGCAAGACATGAGTATGTGAATGACAATAGTGATAACGTTTGATCGATTTGTCTCTCACTGTCTGAACGAACTAAAATATATTAATATTCTCTTGCCTCGGCGATACTCTTTATATCTCTACTGTATAAAGTATTCTAGAGTCCTTTGGGGGAATACAATATGACGATCTTATTACTAGATAAGAGGTAGTGGCTGATTTTTTGCCATTTTATGGTTTCGTCTTTTCGCCCCGTAAGGACGACAATTAAGAACCTATATCATATCAGCGAAACACCTGGTTAAACACGTTCCCTATTTATTCTCTTCAGATGACAGCACAAATATTATTACTTTGCCGGTAGGCATCAATTATTTAGTATGTTAACAATATCAAATACTTATTAACAATACAAAGAATATGTATTTTACAAGATTAACATTTCGTTGTTTCGTCTTTTCGCCCCGTAGGAACGACAATTAAGAGCCTGTATCAGATCAGCGAAACACCTGGTTAAACACGTTACCTAATTATTCTCTTCAGATGACAGCACAAATTAATTACTTTGCAGGTATGCACCAATTATTTAGTATGTTAACACTATCAAATAGTTATTAACAATATATAGAAAATGCATTTTACAAGCTTACCAAATCTTAACTTAAACATTTTCTAATTTCATCTTAAAGAGGTATGGCGGAAAACTGCCCGTATTTCCCTAAGTCGGCATTTATGAAAACGGGAAAAAAATTAAGGAATAAAACATTTCGTGTATCAAAAATGCATACAAAAGATATAGAACCAATTGAATATGAATTTTTAAACTGCTGAGAAATTAGGTATTGCCAATTCATTACTGCAAATATAGCCATATACACTCTATCTATGAAAGTGATGGGGTTTCACGGACTTAAAAAATACTTTCAACACTTTCCCATCCGAGGACTTACTTTTGAATAAACTTTTTTGTGACCGTGATGTAATATGCAAAAACAATTCGTATTACGGGAGAGTGGTCCTCCTTTGGGAAAGTGCTCAAATAATGAAAAAACAGGGTTGATCAAGTTTCTCTAAACTGCGACAGGTGTTTCTCGGGTTTAATCAGTTTGTAATGCAGTTTTATATATTATATATTATTTATATATCATGTTGCACCAAGAAGATATATTGATCGTTTTATTTGTGTAAATGTTTTGTATCGTATTTCACGTCTTATTCATTTTCTACCACAGGATCTATTCACACTACATTGTAATAACTCTGATTTGTCACCCTGATAGATTTGTACACAAATGCTTGATTTTTGACAATGGGTAATGATTATATGTCACACAGGGTGGCAATCGGAACTTTCTATGCCAAAGCATACGGATATAAAATGTACCGTTTCTATTTTTTCTAACTACATTTCACTTTGCTTGCCTATTCATGCATAGTTTAAAAAAACAACATAGCAAAAAAATGTGTAAACTTGTTGAATGATTATCTTATAACGCACGTGAACAATTACGATTTTCTGTTTATTTTGCTGTTGCTAGTATTACAGCATATGGATGTTGAGTCAAGCCCTGGTCCCATGGATGGCGAGCTTTCTACTTTTTATTTTAATATTAGGAGTGCAAGGAATAAAATTGAATACATAGAAAACATTGCAGGTGAATATGATATAATTTGTCTCACCGAAACGCATCTTGATGTTGAGGTCCCCATAGGTGAGTTATTGATAGAAGGCTTCCACTCTCCTTTTAGACTCGATAGAAATTTTGCGGGCGGGGGTATTTTAGTATATGTAAATGAGGCTTTAAAAGCTAGTAGGCTGGTTGACCTCGAAGGCCTCGACACCGAAGTATTATGGTTTCAGGTATTTCTTCCTGACAAATGTCTAATAATCGGGACAGCATACCGTTCTGCTTATCACAATAATCAATTTTGGGATAATCTTCGGGCTTCAATAAACGATGCTGTAGAATTATCGAGAATTATTATTTTGATAGGAGTCCTCAATGTTGACATATTAACCATGTCCCAGAATCATGCTTTTGCTGACATTATTAATACTTTTAATTTTACAAATATAATAAATGAACACCAGGTCTAGTTTACTTGATCCATATTTAGTGTCAGAATCTTTGTCTTGCACCGACTCCTACGTCATAGCTACCGAAAACTCCTTTACTGACCACGAAGGTTGTGTCGCATATATTTCTGACCCGTTATTTATTAAACCCGTCTACAAACGAAAAATTTGGTTATATAAAAGGGGTGACTATGCATTATTTAATCACCTTATCGAGGAATATGACTGGAATACTCTTTTTGCTACATGTAACTCTGTTGATTCGGCTAGCGAACGCTTTACTGAGGTTTTTCTTGATTTTGCTTGTAGAACAATACCACATAAAGAAGGTACTATAAGACCTAACGATACGCCATGGATGAATTCAGACCTGAGAAAAAAAATGAGACTTCGCGATAGATTACGAAAAACAGCCAAACATTCTAAGCATCCACGGGATATATCTAAATTCAAAAAACAGCGAAACAAAGTTAATAACATGAAAAGCATGCTCGAAAATCCTTCTATGAAAATGTTGGAAATCCTATTGATTTTTATTAATCATCTGATCCTAAAAACTATTGGAGACTGTTCAAGAGATTGATGGGAAATTCAGGGAAGTTGAAGTACACTGCAAAACCTGTATGTCACCACTTGATCTTCTTTTTAACTTATCGTTATCTAATTGTATTTATCCTGATATTTGGAAATTTGCTAAAGTCATGCCGCTTTTTAAGAAGGGTGATAGGCATTCTCCTTCTAGACCGATTTCTCTTTTGTCCATGGTTGGTAAAACATTTCAAAGGGTTGTCTTTAAGTACTTGCATAATTATTTTTTTGAAAATTCTCTATTTTATCAGTACCAATCAGGATTTATGCCTGGCCACTCAGCTGTGTATCAATTAATCGAATTATATCATAATATTTGTCTTGATCTAGAAGAAAAAAAGCATACTTGTTTAGTTTTCTTTGACATCTCAAAAGCTTTTGACATAGTCTGGCATTATGGTTTATTAGTCAAGTTAAAATCATATGGTATCTCAGGAAATTTCCTTTCTTGGATCGAAAACTACTTAAGCAGCAGACAACAGAAAGTGTTTATAAATAATTCTTCTTCTGATGCTGGTTTGATATGTGCTGGAGTTCCTCAGGGTTCAATTCTTGGACCATTGTTTTTCTTAATTTAAATAAATGATATCGCCGAAGTACTAGAATCTACAACACGTCTTTTTGCTGATGATACGTTTTTAAAAAGCTCTTCATCTTCTTGTCTAGATAAACAAACAGTTTTGAATAGGGACCTGGGAGCTTTGAATAGGTGGGCTAACACTTGGCTTGTTACTTTTAATCCAAATAAGACGAAAGTTATTTTCATATCAAATTCAAATGATATAGATGAAGATCTTGAACTGAATTTTGAAGGAAATATTTTGAATTTTAACAGTATGCATAGGCACCTTGGAGTTACATTCAATTCAGATGCAAAATGGTCAGATCATGTAAGTGATATCAATAAATCGGTAATAAAAAAAAATAGATATTTTGCGAAAACTCAAATATATGTTGAAGCGGGATGCTCTCTTAAGAATTTTCAAAACTTATATATTACCAGTTTTAGAATTTGCATGTGAGGTTTGGGATGGTTGTACTCTGGTCGATTCTGAAAAGTTAGAGAGGGCTCAACGTGAAGTAGCTAGAATAATTACAGGTTTACCGTCATATGCTAGAAATGAATCATTATATACAGAAACTGGTCTTGAATTACTTTCGGATAGAAGAAGAAGACGAAAACTTCAGTTAATCTACAAAATAGATAGGCATCAAACCCCAAACTACCTAACAAATCTACTTCCCACTAAGGTAGGAGAAACCCGACATGCTCTTAGAAGTAATGATAACTACAAAATTCACAATTTCAGACTCTCTACTACTAGTTGATCCTTCTTGCCTTCTTCATTGAAAATGTGGAATACTCTAGACTATAATATTAGGTCCATGTCTTTCTCATCTTTCAAATCAGCTCTAGTCCCCAGCATACCATATACAGTACCCCCTCATTACCTACGTGGTGACAGAAAACTAAACATTCTCCATACTAGACTAAGACACGAATGCAGTCCTCTCAAACATGATCTATACCGTGCAAACGTG